AAAGCCCACATATTACAATATGTCTTTTTAAAAAAATTACTGGATATTTGTTTGTGGTACTGAGGTTTAAACCCAGGAACTTCACACTGAGCTACATCTCCAGCATTTTTTAATATTTTGAGATGGAGATCTCACTAAGTCACTAAATTGCCCAGGCTGGGTTCAAACTTATGATCTTCCTACCTCAGCACCCCAGAGTGCTGGGATTACAGGCGTGCACCACCATACCCCGCCATCTCCTGTTTGCCACCACACCAGGATTTAAATTTTTTTTGTTGTTTTTTGCTTTTTTTTCCGGTACCGGGAATCGAACTCACAACCTTGCGCTTGCCAGGCAGGCGCTGTGCTGCTGAGCTAAATCCCCAGCCCCTAAATTATTTTTAATATAGAGTTTCTTCCATCTGTTTTTTTCTTCATAATATGTCGGTTTCCTGTACAACTCATAAAATTTTTATTTTGTTTTCTTTTGTCTTTTTGAGACAGGGTCTCACTATGCAGTTTAGGCTGGCCTGAACTCACTTTGTAGCCTAGGCTGGCCTTGAACTCACAGCAGTCCTCCTGTCTCAGCTTCCCAAGTGCTGAGATTACAAGCATGCACCACTACACCTGGCAAAATTTTTAATACTCATTTTTAAGAATATAAATTCTGCTAGGCATGGTGATACATGGCTGTAATCTGAGTACTCTGTGAGACTGATGAACAAGGATCACAAGTTCAAGCCCAGTCTGGGAAACAATGAGACCCTGTCTCAAAATTTTAGGAAGGGTTGGAGATGTAGCTCATTGTGAAGGTCCTGGTTCAATTCCTGGTGCTACACAGAGGGGGTAAAAAAAAAGAACATACATTCCTTAAAGGCCTGTAATAAAGGTTAATTTTAGGAACTATCTTATTTTTTTCCAAAACATGAAGAGAATGCTTCAGTATTGCAGTCTGTAAATGCTCCTGGGTTCCATGGAGGGGGTCTGAGTGGAGGATTAGCCTGACCTCTGCCCCTCCCCTCCCCACAGGAGATCAAGAGCAACAAGACAGTTCTACACTTGGCTGTGCAGGCCGCCAACCCTATCCTGGTTCAGTTGCTGCTGGAACTGCCCCGGGGGGACCTTCGGACCTTTGTAAACATGAAGGTGGGGGCCTGGGCTGGGTGTGTAGGTTGTGAGATCGAGGAGCAAGGGGCAGTGGGATGTTGGGATCCTGTGGCTGTGGAACATGAAGGGGACAGTGTGAGGCATGAAGGGAATGCACAGGACACACACACACGGGTGTGTGGAGTGTGGCCGGGAAGGAGACATCTGGGGTATGGCAGGGAGTGTGGGATGTGGAGATGGCGGAGATGGAGTACATGTGGGGGCCCAGGAAGCTGTCCACAGATCTTCATCAGTGTACCCTTCACTGTGCCAGGCCCATGGGAACACAGCCCTCCACATGGCAGCGGCCCTGCCCCCTGGACCTCTCCAGGAGGCCATCGTGCGGCACCTGTTGGCAGCCGGGGCAGACCCGACACTGCGCAACCTGGAGAATGAACAGCCCATCCACCTGCTGCGCCCTGGGCCAGGCCCCGAGGGGGTGAGCCTCACACGGGTGGATTGCTGGTGGGGGGGTGGGGGGAGGGACTCCTCACCCAACCCTGACATTAGAGGGTGACCTCAACCCTTCTCCATCCCTGATTTCAAAATGTGACCTCTGACATCACTGTCTGATCCTTTCCCTCAGCGTCGTGTCTCCTGACCTCAACCCCACCACTGACTTCAAGTATGGCCTCTACTCCCAACCCTTATCTTGACTGGGATGTGGCTTTAACCTCCCACAGTAGCACTTCCAAACCCCCAGCCCTAACTCTTGAGTCCTGACCTCAAGTGTGACTTCTGACCCTTGCCTGCCTTTGCACTCGGTTCAGTGCTAACCCCAGGGCGGAAGCTCCCAGCCAGCAATACCTGTCCCTTCTCTTTCCCCGGGTCTGAACCCAGGCCTAATCCCTAACTGCACCTTGCACCCACTCTGCCCACTCCTTCCGCATGCCCACGATTCTTATGCCCCGTTTCTTGTCCCCAGCTCCGGCAGCTGTTGAAGAGGAGCCGTGTGGCACCCCCAGGCTTGTCCTCTTAGGACTCAACTCAGACCTGGACTGATTTTCCAGTCCCCACCGTCCCGTGGGACAGTCAGCGTATGCTAATGATGCAAACCCATGATAATGTATGTGGAACGTCTTGCCATTAGGGTCTTACATTAAAACCCCAAAATGGCTACAGGGGGTGCACAATCCCCAATATTTGGGGTGGTGTGCTACCCCTCACCCACCACAAGGAGCCTTCTTGATGATTTCTGTGAAATCGAGGCCCCTTGATTGTTTCTATGAAACACCCCAGGCCCCTTTCACTGCCATCCACCAAGGATCTTTCAGGATCCTCTCCCAGCTCAGCACCCTGTACCCAGAAACGCCGATGTCATCTCCTTTGTGGTATTCAGGACATCCCAGTACCTTCCTGGTAGGGCTTCTCACATTTCCCTTACCCCTCCCAAGGAGCCATACCACTTGGATTTGAACCCGTGAGATGTAGGAAGGGCCCTCTCAGACTGAGGTGGCCTGGTTTCTACTGCCTTTTGACTCAGAATTTAGCAGAGTCCCTGTCCCAGACGTCCACCGCCCTACTGAATCCTTCCCTAATCTGTGTGTTTCTGAAGCTCCTTATTAAATTCAATTCAGACTACAACTGCATTGTCTCATCTCTGGGGGCACTGAGGGGTCACATTTGGATGGATGTGCCTGGTGGAGCATGTAGTAGACACTGGTGCCATCCCCTCACCCTATCCAGCCATCTAGCCCCTGTAGATTACTGTATTCCTTACCGGTGTAGGAGCTGGAAAGCCCAACGTTGAGGTGCCATAGTCTGATGAGCACGTTTCCTGGTTTGCATATGGCCATCTTCCTGCTGTGGGCATCCTCAGACCACTTTGCCCTCTGAGAGATGTGGCCAGCCTTAAAAGCCAGGGAGTTTATTGGGGTAGGACTCGGTGGGAGAGCACTTGCTAGCACTTAAGGCTCTAGGTTTGACCCCCAGCACTGCAAAAACAAAAAAGCCAGAGAGCGCATACCTGCTTTTCATTCCAGTGGCCCTCAGTCAGTGACTGAGAGAAGATGATGTGTAAATACTCCAGTCCCTCAGAAGTGCACTTAGAGTTCTGCCCCTTTCCTAGAGTCCCCCAATAGAATGAAGCTCCTGTTTTCTGTAGTGTTCAGGCTTGATAACATACACTTTCTTGGTTGTTTTCCTTGTCTTTCTTTTATTTTTCTTTTTGTACTGGGGATTAACCCCGAGGCCTCCACACTAAGCTACATATCAGCTATTTGAAAATGTTTTAATTTGGGGACAGGACTTGATCTCTTTAAGTTGCGCAGGCTGGGTTGGAACTTATGATCCTCCCTCAGCTTCCCAGAGTGCTAGGATTACAGGCATGAGCATCACACTTGGCTGTTTTCCTTTCTCTGTGTCTCTTTCTGCCTCCCCCACCAATATCCTCATCCTTTCCTAATAAACTTGCCCTCCAGTGCTTCTGTGTCTGCTTCTGAGAAAACCTACACTAAGACAGAAGACCTCCGCTCTGCCCACTCCTCCGCTAGCCCCTTCACCGCAACTGTTCTGGCTTCATCACAGATCACCTGAGGTGCCACCACCCTAGAAAGCCACTTGGCCCACCAGAGGCCAATCACTCAGAGCTTCTCATAGACAAAAAGCCAAGTACTTATTAGCACACTGCAGGGCAGGTGCCAGTGTCTGCACCCCAACACTTCAGACATAAAAGGAACACTTCTTCACTGTGACTCTGCAAACCTGAGCTGGGCTCAGCTGGTAGCACTGCTGTCTTGCTCTGCTTGCTCCTGGCTGCGCTGGGAGGAATTCAAGACAGCTTCCTTTGACTGTCTGATAGCTCACTGACATGGCTGGGTCTGCTGGGAAAGGAGCAAGCATCTCTCCCTGTGGTCCAGGGGAGTGGGTGGGTCTCTTTGCATGGTGGTTAAGGGGTCCCAGAGAGCATTCCAAAAATTGCACCATGCTTGCCAACATCCCATTGATAAAGTCAGTGTCGTGGCCAAGCCATCACAAGAGTGACGTCATCCCAGGGCCCAAAAATTGGGAGACAGAGTTATCAGGAGCCACAAGTGTAAAGTGTCCCACATCAGCTGCTCTGTGCAGCTGGCAGGTGAAGAATTCATATGAATGTGCTGTACTTCACTGATGTAAGAAGAAATTAGTTGCAATCAGAATTCATCTTATAATCAGTTGTGTGATGTGGTTTATTTTATATGTTTTTGGTATTTTGAGATAGGGCTTTGCTATATAGTTCAGGCTGGCCTTGAACTCCCTATGTAGTCCAGGCTGGCCTTGAACTCACAGTGATCCTCCTACTCAGCCTCCTCAGTGCTGGGGTTATAAGTATGTGCCACCATGCCTGACTCAAATTGTGTGACCTAGTTTAATTTTTGCCTTTTTTGTGACACATAAAATAATTCCTTTTTCTTTTTTCTCTTTCCTTTCTGTCTCTCCCTCCCTCCTCCTTCCTTCTTTCTCTCTTTTTTTGTGCTGGAGATTGAACCTGTGACCTTGTGTATGCTTGGTAGTTGCTGTACCCCTGAGCCACACCCCAAGCCCAGTAATGCTCTTTCTTATCACTGATGGCATCAATTACTCACATGTAAGACATATATTCCAATTTGTATAGTTATACACTGGAAGTTGGTCCCCTCCCAGTTCATACATTGGAGCAATAAACCCCAGTGGATTATTTGGATGTGGGCACTTAGAGAGGCAATTAGGTCATGAGGATGTAGCCCTGGGATGAGACTAGTGCCTTTATAAGAAGAGACGAAGCGAGGCGTGGTGGTGCATGCCTGTAATCCCAGCATTTGGGAGGCTGAGGTAGGAAGACTGTTGTGAGTTCAAGGCCAGTCTGAATTATGTAGTGAGTGAGACAATGTCTCAAAAAATAAACAAAAACAAAACGAAAAAGGAGACCATTTGCTTTTTCTCTCTGCTCTTCCTACATGAAGATACAAGAAGAAGATTGTTAACTACAGATTGGAAATTGGGAAGTGTGGCCTCATCAGTCATTGGATGTGCTGGTACCATGATCTTGTGCTTCCCAGCCTGTAAAATTGTGACAAATGTTCATTGTTTAAGCCACATATTCTGTAGTGTTCGGTTATAGCAGCCTGAACTATGTATCAACCAAAACACACACACACGCATGCATGCTCACACACAAGCACACACACAAGGATAGAATGTCTCCAGGAAACTGCATTTTTGTGTGTATATGGCACTAGAGATTGAACCCAGCATGCTAGGTAAACATCTACCACCAAGCTAACATCCCCAGCCCTTTTATATTTTATTTTGAGACAGGGTCTTGCTAATTTGACCAGGATGGCATTGAACTTGTGATCCTCCTGTCTCAGCTTTCTGAGTAGCTGGGATTACAGGTGTGCACCACTGTGCCTGGTAAAATACTGTATTAAAAAAGAATTAACAAAGTCATTTTTTTTGGTGCTGGGAATCAAACTCAGGACCTCATGCTTGCCAGGCAGGCGCAGTTCCCCTGAGCTATATTCCCAGCCCTACAAAGTCATTTTCAATTTGTTTTGTTTGTTTGTTTGCTTTGTCTTTTTGAGACAGGGTCTCACTATGCAGTTCAGGCTGGCCTTGAGCTCACTTTGTAGTCCAAGCTGGCCTCAAACTCACAACGATCCTCCCTGCCTCAGCCTCCCAAGTGCTGGGATTACAGACATGTGCCATTATGCCTGTCATCATTTTCAATTTGAAAGGAAGGGTAGCTTCAGAGCATCAAATGAGCAATAGCCAAATATTTTAATAACAGCACTTAAAAATCAATTACTCTAAATATTGCCATTGTGTTAAAGGGAATCACTGATCATATTGGGAAAAATGGCCTTTTATTTCCAATCCCATCTGCTTGGAGCTTCTTTCCTATTGTTGGCCTGTTATCACTCATGGTTGTGAAAACATGAAGGCAGCTTTTTCCCTGCCTTTGGTGTTAGTGGTATATTTCTGTCAGGCTCACGTGAGTTCTCCTGAACATCTAACCACTATCAGAATGCTGGTGCAGCCAAGTGCAGTGGCTCATGCCTGTAATCCCAGAAGTTTAGGAGCCTGAGGCAGGGGGATAGGAAGCTCACAACAGGCCTGGGTTAAATGGCAATAGCCTGCCTCAAAATAAAAAAGAGGGTCAGGAAGGTAGCTCAGTTCAACTCGCAGTACAAAACAAAACAAAACAAAACAAAACAAAACAAAACATGCAAACTGAATTCAATAAACCTGTGACACTGTATCCAATTTGCATCGTAAAGATATCCCTTCCTTACACATAGTAGGTGTGCATTTAATGTGGTTTACATGGCTTATATTTACATGGGTATATTGTGAAGAATCACTGCTTTTCAGGAGAATTAGAAATAGGTGCTCCCTCCCCCAGCCATCTGTCAGAAAATGGTGACATACTGATATTAGAACACAGCATTTTACTGCCATCTGTCGGGAAATTGTGGTAAAAAGTCAAGTCCGCTGTAGGGCCTATGTCCCACCTGCAGGCTGCCTTTTTTTTTTTTTTTTTTTTTTTTTTTTTTTTTTGACTGAAGAGGTATTGTCTTGGGTCTTATATAAAATACACAATGGAGATAATTTACTTCCTTTAAAATTATTTTTATTATAATATTTAAAAAATGAGGGCAACCAGATATGGTGGTATGTGCCTCTAACCCCAGCAATCTGGGAGGTTTAGGTAGGAGGACTGCAAGTTCGATGCCAGCCTGGGCAACATAGTGAGAGTCTGTCTCAAAAGTTTAAAAAGTGTCAAGAAGAGCTGATGTAACTTTGGGTTCAAGCCCCACTACCACCCCCAAATGTAGGTTGCAGGTTGTATACTCCCACTTTGGTGAATGGTAGGTATTGCCTGGTCTGCGGTTTTGGAGTGCACAATTTCAACATGCTATAGGACAGCCTTGAATTAGTAGACAGTCTAGTAAATGGCTGAGTATGTGCACCAAAGCCAGGCTTCCTAGAATAAATTCTTAGCTCCCATTTTTCCTAGGTGGTGACTTTAGGTGTGTGGTGTAACTCCACTACTTCCCAACCTCTAGATGAGGATAAATTAGTTCCATTTCCTTAGGGTAGAATTAATCATTAAGTGCACCAACACCTGTAAAGCTCTTGGGGCTGTTCGTGGCTTAGGGAGAGCACATATGAGTGTTTGCACCTGTAACATTTTAAATTTATTTAACCAATACCTGCAAAGTGCAGGCACACTTAATATTTCCACATAGATGCCTTTTTTTTTTTTTTTTTTTTTTTTGGTACTGGGAATCAAACTCAGGACCTCACACTTGCCAGGCAGTTTCTGTGCCACTGAGCTATATCCCAGCCCTCACAGACGCCCTTCTAATCCTCATTACAACTGTCTTGGGACAGATATCAGCATAGGTAGAGGACCAACTTCAACATGTCACCCAGTGAGACCTGAGAGACTATGCATTCCAGTAGGTGCTTGCAGACCTCATATATCCCTCGCTGGGACACCCGACTGGAGTTTTCACGTCCCGGGGGGTTCCTATCACCTCTTTAAGAAGCAATGAAGACTTTAGGGATGGGAAGGTAGTTCAAGATTCCCAGTCCCTAGCATAGCCTGGTGGTGCATGCCTGTCGCCCAAACACTCTGAAAGGCTGAGGCAGGAGGATTACAAGTTTGAACTCAGCCTTGGCAACTTAGTGACTTAGTAAGAACCTGCCCGCCCCCCAATTTCTTTTTAAAGTCTGGAGATGTAGCTCAGTGCAAAGGTCCTGAGTCAATCCCCAGTATGGGGGCGGAGAGCTACCCCTCAGGATAGGGTAGCTGCTGTGCGTAATTGTGTGGGGGGATTAAGTAAAGCTGGAGAAATTTGCCAGAGTCCATCCTCCGTGGGGTCTATCCTGGAGACCCGCAAATAGATGTCTGAAAGTCGCAGAGCGTTCAGCACCACGGAAAGCGCCTCCGCCCGCGCAGAAATCCTCGCTGTCTCTGGCCCCGCCCCTTGCGCGCCAGCACTTCCGCAGGCCCCGCCCACATTTAAAGTGCCCTCATCCAGTTTACCGAGGCGAAGGAGATTCTCCGGCTGAATTTACACACTGAATCTCCCATAGAGACACAGGATGGCCTGGTGGGGAAGAGGACTTTATTGGGATGTTAGAGGGAGAATGTGGGAGGGTGAATTCCAGGGAACAACAGACACTGGAACCAATGTGGTGATCACCTTAAGGAGCAATAAATTAACTTATAAAATAAATAAGGTGAGGAGGTCCCACGTGAGGAGGCAGCGGGGGATACCTGCGGGGTTTCTTAGGGATGGAATTTGACATCGGAAAGGAGGCGTTGGAATGAACTTGTCAAGACCTCCCTCCCCCACCCTAGGCTGGGAGTTGGGGTTGTGGGGCGCCAGGCAGAGGGGAGGCCTGGCCTCAGGGTCGGTCCTCCAGGAAGCGGTAGGTGGGGTTCTCATAGCCGTGCCGCTGCAGTTCTCGCAGCTGCTGCTCCTCCAGGCTCAGCATGGGGTCCACCTGCAGCAGGGGCGGGAGGGGGCGGGGCTGGGACTCGCTGCTGACACAGGGTCTGTCCATCCCCACGGCAGGCTTCGCGCTCTCACCTCCACCACCCCGTGGCTGATAGCCCCGTAGGGCTTCTTCCTGCGCAGCAGCAGCATGGAGAGCACGATGAGGGAGGCCCCGCCCGCTCCCATGATCAGCAGGCCTGACACGGCCTCGCGGGACACGCCTGTCCCGGCTGGTGCCTGCGTGGAAAAGGACATGGGACCCGGGCTAACTTTGAGGCTCATCAAGGTCTCCTGCGGCTTTGGGAGCCACAGCCTAGACACTGATCTCCGACATCTCTCCCTAGATACCCTGGGTTATGCCTCCTCTTACCAGCTCATCTCTCTGAATCTCTGAGGAGTGGAAAGGAAAACCCCTTGGGGCAGACGCATTCACCTGGGGGAGCAAGAAGTGTCATGGACCCGACCTTCTTCCTTCCCAGGGTCCAAGAGGGCACCCTCCCCCACACCAAATCCAGACCTTCAGCCCCCTCTTCCCTCAGGCCAAGGACTCCAAACCCCAGCACCTCCTCCCATACCCCCAGGAGCCTAGATGCCCACTGACCTTCCTTCAGGAGCCCACAGGTCCTACTCACCTTTAGCTCATACTGCTCCAGAGGGGATGTCTTCTCTTTCCCAGAAGATGCGGCGTCTTGTTCTGTGGACCCTACCCCCCAAGTCCTATCTCATTCTCGAGGGCTCAGGGGGGTGCTGCCCCCACCTGAGGAGGGGGGCAGAAAAGGCACCAGACTCCACCCCAGAAGATCTAAATTTGCTCATGTATGGACCCTTGTTCACTTTGGATATAGGATTCGGTGGGATTTAGTGGCTGAGGTCTACCTTGCGTGACACTCACCTTTTGGAAGGGTCACAGGGGTGTCTGCTGGCAGCCAAAGGGGACAAGGCAGGTGGAACAGTGAAGAGAAGAGGGGGCCATCAAAGAAAGAGTGGAGAAGCACCCTCCCAGGGACCAAAGGAGGACTACGGACCCTACAGAGGACTCCACACCCTGAGACGTTCCTCCCCATTCTCTCCCCTTACTGTGGTAGCTAAGACACCCCCAGACTCTAGGGGATTAGCAATGAGGTTGGACCCTTGTTCCCAGGATCTGGGGTTCTCCATATTTAGACTCACTCACCATCCTTGGAATCCGGAGGCTGCAGCCCACCCTTGTCCTCACTGCTGCCCCCAGGTGCAGCAGCTTCCAATTCACTGGGACCCAGGTGTTCGGAACGGAGGAGTTCTTCTGAGGGGAATATGCAAGGAGAGGGCTGAGGTGGTGAGCATCAGGATTCCACAAGCCATACAGGGTTGAGTGCAGAGCACCACACAGTGCAGTGCTTGGGAGATCACGCAGCCAGCAGAGGCAGCCCTAAGTGCGACCTGGCCAAGTGGAGAGCTGGGCAGAGGTGCTGCTGGCAGGGAGGGTGAAGGCTGGAGGTTTTAGAATCTAGTCTCATGAAATATCAAGAGATTTAGGTGTGGGTCATCCAGGAAGGAGTCACAATAGATCCAGGGGCTGAGCAAGGTCACACTTTCTGGCATTCATGTTCTTATGTTGGTCCCTCCCATTGAATCTGGTCTCGGTTTGTAACTTGGTCTAAACAACTGAATGTGGGCCCAAGCCTTAAGAAGATTTGGAGAGGTTGGAGCTCACGGGCAGTGTTTGCTTCGCGTGTACAAAGGCCTGGGTTCAGTCTTCATCACTGAAAAAAAATGATCTGGGAACTTCCACTTTTCTGCATTGGGGTTCTGAACCATCAGGTAGGAAGCCCCTGCATGGAGAGGCTCCTTGGAGGAGTGAGGCCCTGATCCTACCTGGAGAGGGGGATAGGCACATTTGCCAGAATCCCAGCCCCTCAGTGATCCTCTAGCTAAATACAGCTGCTCACTTACTAGTGGGAAGTTCACCAAGAGAACCATCCAGCTGAATCCAGAACAGTCTGCGAATCATGAGCAAAGAAAAATGGTTTTCGGCTGTTTATTTATTTACTTTTTTTTGGAGAAGGATCTCTTTATGTAGTTCAGGCTGGATTTGAACTGGCTCAACATCCTGAGTATTGGGATTATAGATGAGCCCCACCATACCCAGAAGAAAAATGGTTTTGAGGATACAAATATTAAGTTCTAAAAAAAACTTAAGTTCTGGAGTCTGCTACACAAGAGTAGATAACTGAGCTGGACAGGGTACATGCCTGCAATCCTAGCTCCTGGGAGGCTGAAATGAGAGGATTGTGAATTTGAGGCCAGTCAGGCCCATATAACAAATTTCAAGCTACCCTGGACTACATAGCAAGATTCTATCTTTAAAAAAAGATGGGGGTTCATGGTTTGAGGCTCAAAGTCTGCCTTTAGAGGTTTGGAATGGGGGCCAGGGGCAATGGGCACTCACGGATCTGGGGCTGAAGCTCCTGGGCCAGGTGGGGGTTCTGGTCAAGCAGCCCCAGGCTCTGATTCATCCTTTCCTCAATCACCTGGAGGTGGGTCTGCACCTATGGGGAGTAAATATGAGAGATGGGCTGGGTGCAGTAGCATACACCTATAATCCAAGCTACTCAAGAGGCTGAGGCAGGACTGCAAGTTTGAGGACAGCCTGGAGAATTTAATAAGAATGTAGACCCTGTATGATAGTGAAAACATAAAAATAAATCAGGTTGGGATATAACTTCATGGTTAGTACTTCCCTAATAAGTGTGAGCTCCTTGGTCTCAAGGAAAAGGAGGCACCAGAGGTAAGTATAGGACCCAAGGAGGATGGTATAGAAGACAGGAAGTGGGGTAAGTGGGGCAGGTGTGGAAAGTAGGGTCTGAGAAACAGAAAGGGGGGCTTGGGCAGGTTCCACAGACAGGAAGTAGAATTTGAGATTAATATAGAAATGACAGTGGTTCAAGGGCAAGAGTTGAAGTTCAAGAACACAGAACAGAGTATTTACAGGAAGTGAGGCTCCAAGAAATAGAAATTAGATTCTGAGGACACAGAGAAGGAGTCAGGTGGAACTAGGGAGGAAGGAAGGTTGAGGGGCAGGAAAAGGGTTTAAGGCACTGCAAAAGGTTTCAGGAAAAGGAAGTAGAAATCCAAGGGACAGGAAGTAAGAATTCAAAGGAAAAGAAGGTGATCAAAGGTACGGTGTTGGTGGCGAGCAGGGTGCCGGGATCAGGAAGCAGGGTCTGAAGCAGGAAGTGAAGATGGGGAACCGGGAAAGGTACTGAGGCCCAGGAAGGGGCTTTAGGTATAGGAAGGGGGCCCCAGGGACAGGATGTAAGGAACAAGAGAACAGTCTAAGGGCCTGGGATCTGGAGGCTGACAGGGCATCTGGGAGTTGGAGGCATATGAGCACCTGGAATCGCATCTGCTGCGCCTTCTCAGGATCCACAGCAGCCACGTGCTGGTAGTGTCGCAGCGTGTGCCTTTGCTCCTTCTGCTCTGCACGAAGGTAGCGCCGCAAGGCCACCAGGACATGCTCTGCCTGTGAGAGCGATGAAGGCTGCCCGGGTCTGTTGCAACCTTTCTCTCCCTCTGCTCTCTGTCCCCACCACCTTGTACCTGAGGCGGATCCCCCTGCAGTGCCGCCAGGAAACCTTCCAGGGCAGCCCGGCGCTGGTCATTGATAAGGGCAATGACTCGGGTGGCATGGGTCTCCACCAGGCGCTGTCGTTCACCAGACACCTGCTCCTCCAGGGTCTGCAGAATGGACTGGAAGTGCTGGTGTGGGGGATGGGGAGGTGGGGGTGGCACAGATTCAGGAGAGGTAAAAGGTGTGGGTCAAAAGGAGTCTGGAGAGGCAGGACTATTGGGGTGAGTGAGGTGGGGTTGTGTGGGTCTGTCCTGGACAGAGTCACTTGAGATGGGACTAGGTCAAAGGACACTGTTTAGAAAGGGTGCTACATGGACAGGTAGTGTAGGGTCAGGGATAGGCCACCTGGGAGCAAACCTGAGGGTATAAATTATCAGACTGGGGGGGAATAATCTGGGAACAGAACTGGTTAGTGTTAAGTCCCTGCAAATCTTGTAGGGAGAGCAGGGCTCCAGACCTGGACAAGCCCAACCCCAAGACAGGCTATGCCTCAATGAGACCCATGGGGTAGGACTGAGGGTTGGAATGCAGCCTAACCTGAGTGGGGTATGCATGGGGAAGAGCTGCACCCAGGTAAGGCTGAAGGAGGTGAGGTCAAAAGTTAGGAGGCAGGACTTACTGGTAGGAACTAAGTAAGAGTAAAATAGAATGGCAGGACCAGACTCAGGGTGGGGCCTTACAGGGATGTGAACACCTCCAAGAGAAGCTGAGACGAACCCAGCTATAACTTCAGGGGGCCAGGCTTGGGAGAGGACTCCAGAGCCAGATCTCAGAAAGAAGTCAAGTCAAGAAGGGTTAAGCCTGGCCAGGTGTGGTGGTGCACACCTGTAATCTCAGTACTCGGGAGGCTGAGGCAGGAGGATCACTGTGAGTTCGAGGGCAGCCTGGGCTACAAAATGGGTTCAAGGTCAACTTGAGCTGCATAGTGAAACCCTGTCTCAAAAAGGGAGAGAGGAGGCTTAAGCCTGGCCAATCTAAGGAGGACAGCAATGTCAGGTCAAGAGTGGCAGGGCCAAATGGAGGTGTGGGGCCAGGAAACACCAAGGTGAGTAGGAGAGGGTTGACATGGATGGGGTAGGACTTGGCCAGAGCCAGGCTTAGACCATCCAGCCCCTTGTCCTACCTCATTCAGGGCCTGTCTGTCAGCTTTAGGCAGGTTCTTGGACTGGTTATCTGCCATGGCCCATTCACGCATCACCTGGGGGAGGGAGGGAACTTCAGGACCCTACAATCCATCCTGATCCACCCGGCAAGTCTCCCAACTCCTTGTCAAGCCTTTGGAGGACACAGGACCCTTAAGTCCCACTAGCTCCTGTGTTCCCAAGCAGAAAGACCCAGGGGGAGTTTAAAGTGGAAGTGTACCACGGGCCAGAGTTTCCAGAGAATCTGGTGGCATCTCATTGGGACTCTAGGTGGGTCAAGGATCACTAGCCATCTTAGGGGGTAGCGTTAAGGGCTCAGGGTTGAAGGGAGTTTGTGCAGCCCTCAGAGATGTGTCAATGGGCTCCTCAGAAGATTTCTGGAATTTTAGGGAGCTCTATGATGGGAATGGTGGGTTCCTAGGGTCCCCAGTATCCACCTCATTAATCTGCCGCATCCTGCGTTCCTCCAGGTCCATCTTGGCCCTCAGGAACCCCTCGTGCTCACTGATTTCCCCAGGCATGCCGAAGTAAACATCCACACCATCAGTGGGCCTCGGGGTTGGAGTGACTGCAAGACCACCAGGACCAGAGGTTGGCCTGCAGTGCACCGCCAGGTCACCTTTCCTACCTGAAGAACCTCATTTCCTAGAGTGCACTGGAGACCATCACGCATCCATTGAGCTATCGCTGCTGCCTAGCATCATGAGAGATGTAGTTCTGGACCCAGCCTGCTCCTGCAAAGCTTTCACTATCTTCCATGCTTTTCCCAAATGACCCTTAGGACCTATCAAATGGGCCCTCCACTTCCAAGGATCTCCAAACTACCTTGTGCCTTTATATTCTTCATGAGCTAACCCTTCCACCACTGCTTTTTCCAAAGTTACTCCTATCTCTTCCATTCCCCCCACCTGGGCCTCTCCCCTACAGGTCCCTCCCCAAAGGGGCCCTACAGCACAGCTCCTTCAGATCACCCTTTTTCCAGTGGTAGAGAGGGCCGAGGAGACTACCTTACCTTTGTTGATCACAGCAGGGGCGTGGGAGCTCGGGAGTGGGACTCTTTCTTCCTCTTCCTCTTCAGCCTGGGGGGGCTCCACAAAGTAATCATCTACTGGCTGTAGGAAGGATTCCTCCTCTTCCTCATCCTCACCCTTCTCTGCTCTGCCCCCCAGGGGCCAGGACCTCGTGGATGGGTCACTGAGGGAGCAGGAGACCCAGGCAGTAGGATCCTGAGCATAGGCCCCAAGGTTTCCATCCTCTGCCCTAGGAGCATTAGGATGGCCACTCACCCAACTGCTGTCCCAGACGGGTTGGAGGTCACTGGAGGTGGACAGCATACATATTCCACACCTCGGAACCGATCCTCCCCACAGGGCAAAAGCATGCCTGAGCCATGCAGGATGAGGCCCTGGGAGCTGCAGGCCTGTGGGAAGAGTGGGCCCAGATGCCAGGACTGTGGAGTAGGAGGGTGTAGACTGGAAGCCTGGATGCCTGGGTCTTGGGGGCTGATAAGGCTGGGAGCCTGGATTCCTGGTTCTGGAGGAAAGGGTTGGAGGATGGAATTCCCAGATCCCAGTGGGAACAGGGAGCTGTAATAAGACTCCTAGGTTCTGGTAAAGGAGGTGTTCGGGGCTTGGACTCCTGGGCTGTAGAGGGGCAGGCATGGGTGGGCCAGGGTCCTGACCTCCTGTGCCTCCTGATGCCTCCGGGTTAAACTCTCACACTGGTCCATCCGTTCTTGGTGCAAGAACCGGCAGCCTTCTGGCACCAGTAGAGCCTCGCTCACAAATTCCCCAGCTGAGGAATTGGGGACACCAGGATGAGATTTTCCCATAGTTACCAGCTCCACCCTCGCCAGAACCCAGATATCACATCCTCAGAGGCTTCTCTGCCCCATTTTGGACCCGGGCACCCAGCCCCTCATTGTGGGCCAGAGACAGGGCTCAGAAATACCTCTCAGAGACTCCCACCTCCATTCCCCCCTCCCAGCCTGTGACTCACGCAGGCAGCGGAAGTGCGCCACCTGGTGGTGGGGGTGGGCACAGCGGCCACTGCGGGTGCCCCCACACCAGCGCTCCATGGGCAGCGCCTGTTCCGCCTGCTCCACTCGCGTAATGTGCAGCTCCGGATACATCTGGGGGCACCAAGGAGGCACAATCAACCCATTACCCTGCCCCTGCCACCCACCCTTCTCCACTGGTCATGGTCACGTCCCTTTTCGAGGCTCTGCCCTCCACTCCCGTACTGGGGGTCGAACCCAAGGCCTTCACACTGAGCTACATGCCCGGTTCTTCTTTTATTTATGTATTTATTTTTTAAACTTTGAGACAGGGTCTTGATAAGTCGTTAAATTACCCAGGTTGGCCTCAAACTTGTGATCCTCCTTCCTCGCCTCTCAGGCACGCACCACTGCACCTGTCTCAAGACTCTAGTATTCGTAAGATCTCCCTAGATCATGCTTCTGCATAAAACCCATCGAAGGTATCTTAAGTCCCCCATGCTCTTTGGCCACAACCTTTCTCTCCTTAGCACTTCTTCTCCTGTCCAGTTGCTTCATGCAGATCCCTTCATCTGCTTATAAATTCAACCTCTGTAAACTCATTTCTCTGGTCACCTCGCCTCCACAATCAGGTTCTTCTCCCCTAGATCTTTTCCTCCTCCAAGCCTTGCTCCTTTTGATTTGGCCTCTCCTAAGTATTCCTTCTCTTTTTATTAGACCGGCCTTTTCATAGCCACGCCTCCTGGCTATCCGCTTGCTCATTGGGCTCCACTGTTTCCCTCGCCCCATCTTCCTGCTTCATAGGTCTTTCGTTATTAGCCCCGTCTCTCCACTGGCCACGCCCACTTATGCCCGAACTCCTACAAAGCCCACCAGATTTCTAAACCCGGCCACTTCCCTGGCCACCTTCCTTAGAAGGAATCTTTGAGCAGCTCTTCCTTCTCCAGACTTAAGTTTCTCAAACCAGGTTCTGACTCGCCTCTTCATTGGCCACATCTTCCAGTTCCCTTTGCCGCCTCAGATTCCGCATCTCCCAGGACCCTGCTTTTTGCGAGTCTAGCTTCTCAGAGGCGACCTTGCCCTCTCTGGAACCCGCTCCCCGCTGACCACGCCCCTCCCGTAGGCCCCGCCCACCTGTCTGCAGTACTCCAGCACGCGCTGCGGGTCCCGGAGACAGCGTCTTGAGCGCTGTGGGTCTGGTTCCCAGCGGCCGGTGCGCAGGTCCCGGTGAAGCGTTGGGAGCCCACATAGTCCTGCCACCTGGGCCGACCCCGGAGCCTAGCCGTGGAGATGGAAAAAGCAGTGAAGGCCCGGGGGACATTAGCATATGGGTTCCCTAGTTCACTGCTCCCTAAGACCCAGATATTCAGACCACCCCCAGCTGCCGTCCCCTTCCCCCCAGCGCTCCGCACCCGCCTTCTTAGAAAACACCGTTCCCTGGGAAACAGCTCCCGTAGGGCGGGGGCGCCCCAGCTCTCCCGTTTCTATGGCAACCCAGGTCCCCCGGGTTTCTCGAGGCTTGTTGCTGCGGAGACAGACTCCGCCCCCACCTCAAAGCAGTCGCGCAGGAGCTTGAAGGGGTTAATACTGAATTGTGGGGGAGGAGGCCTGAACCCAGGCGTTCTGGCCCCTCCTCCCTCCATCCCTAGTTCAGGCTTCCCATTGCGGGGGTGCAAAGACCACAGGGCCTGGCTTCCCTGTAGGCCTGGATACCAGGTCCTTGAGGACTGGGGAGCTACATCCCGGTTGGGGGTAGTGGCTGGAGGCCTGGATTCCTGGATCCTGAGGGGGCCCTTATTTGGGTACAGAGGATGCAAGGGGCCAGGATTCTCGGATCCTAGTGCCTTGCTGCCTGGTGGGTCTTACTTTCCGGTGGGAAGGGGTTAGGCCTAGTCTTCTGGAGACGGTCTAGGTGGGTAGGCTGGTCTTCTGGGACCGGGGTCGGAGGGGGCTAGGATATCAGAAGATGGGGGACCAGGGCCAGGAATCCTCGGTGCATGAACGCCTAGTGCCGTTAGGGACGCCGGGGGCGGGCCACCTGACTGAAAGGACTGCGCGTTCTGCCCTGGGCAGGTCCGCGTCGGGGTCCTGCGGCCCGGTCCCGCCCCTTCCCCCATCCCCCAGGACCCGGCCCGGCCTCACCTCGGCCGCGCCGGGGCTCCCACCGGCCTGGCTCCCGACGGCGAGCTGCGCGCGCAGAGACAGGAGCAAGAGGGGCAGCAGCAGCG